AAGTAGGAGGAAGATGAGGTGAGGTGAGGTGAGGTGAGGTGAAGAAGAGGCAGGAGGAGGCGGAGGAGGGAGGCGGAGAAGGAGGAAGAGCCGGAGGAGGAGGAGGAGTGGAGAAGGAGGGGAAGGGGAGGAAGAGAAGGATAGGGTGAATGAGGAGGAAGAAGAGGACGGGCCTGAGGAGAAGGGCAATCGGTGGGATGAGGATGTTGGAGTGAGGTCGAAATTGGGGATGATGGATGTGGACGACTGATGATGAGGTCTGGGGACAAGAGGACCGCCCTTAATGGTGGAGGGGCGCTGCGCAACAGCCCCACCCCTGCCGCGGCCACCTGCGTCGAAGTGGGTCCGGTCGCCGCACCACTGGGTGCACTTGTTCGACAGCACCACGAAGTCCACGGAGCCCGTGTCCATGACGACCTGCGACTGCTTTTCGATCCCGAAGCGCAAGCGGCGGGAGGAGAAGGAGGAGGAGGAGGAGGAGGAGGAGGAGGAGGAGGAGGAGGAGGAAGAGGAGGAGGAGGAGGGGAGAGGAGGAGGGAGGCGGAGGCGGAGGAGGAGGAGGAGGAGGAGGAGGAGGAGGAGAGGAGGAGGAGGAGGAGGAGGAGGAAGGAGGAAGAAGGAGGAGGAGGAGGAGGAGGAGGATGAGGGGGAGGCGGAGAAGGAGGAGGAGGAGGAGGAGGAGGATAATCAACGGAAGAAGGAAGAGAAGGAGGAGGATGACAAATAAGTGCAGTACTTTTTGGGGGACGGGGCTCAGCACGTGTCGGTTCGCAGGGGTGGCTTTTAGATTTCTCTGCTCCAAACTGACACACATGCTCAAGTTGGGCCGAACTGAAAACTGGTAGCTGAGTCGGGGAGCAGGAGCAGAAGGAGAAGGAGGAGGAGCAGGAGGAGGAGGAAGAGGAGGAGAAGAAACAGGTCAGGGATGGCGAGGAAGGATAGGGGGAGGGAGGGGGCGAGAAGGGGGAACGAGGCTCCGCCCTGACCCTGACCTGCAAGTTCTGCCCCCCGATCGTCATGCTGCCGTAGTACTGGAGGTCCTCGTGCTGGGGCCCGTCGACCACCCCGAGGGCCATGGGCCATGAGGTGCTCAGGAGCAAACCTTCTCCTCCTTCTCCTTCTTCTTCTCCTCCTCCTCCTCCTGCTCTTCCTCCTCCTCCCCCCCTCCAACTCTCCTCCTCTCCCCCCCGCCCTCCCTTCGCCTCCTCCTTCGCCTCTTCCTTAGCCTCCTCCTTCGCCTCCTCTTTCGCCTCCTCCTTCGCCTCTTCGTCCTCCTCCTGCTCTTCCTCCTCCTCTTACTTCTCCTCCTCCTCCTCCTCCTTCTCCCCACCTCCTTCCATCTCTCCCTTCAGCCCTCCCTCATCCTCCTTAGCATCCTTTGCTTTCGCTCCGCTGCCTTCCCTCCTTCTTCTCCTCCTCCTCCGCCTCCAGCTCCTCCTCCTACGCCCCCCCGTCCTCCTCCTCCTCCTCCGCTCCGCCCTCCCCTCTCCTCCCCCCTCCTCCCTCCTCCCTCCTCCTCCTCCTCCTCCTCCTCCTCCTCCTCCTCCTCCTCCTTCTCTTCTAGACAAGCACATCGACTCCAACGTACCTCCCAAACGCCTCAACCATAAAACATGGTGAAGACCAAGACCTCCGGCGTCGAGCTTTTTAACTGCGTGAGCCACCGAGCACTCCGTTCCATCTTCAATACATTTTTTTACCACAGCACGTTTGTTGGTGGCCCTCGGCTCCGACAACTGCTTGTGGACGCCAACATTAAAATGAGAAAACTCGTCGCAAGTTTTCCGCGACACCAAGAGGGCTGGGAACCTTACCGATAATGGTTGTTCATCACAACCCTCTTGTGGAGTTAGGTCGTTATTTTCTCTCCCCGCGCGCCCGCAGGCCCCTCCTCCCTTCTCACCTTCGTGCTGCTGCTGCTGCTGCTGCTCGCTGTGCAGCTTCCGCAACTGTCCGCCTGCATTCGGCACAGCCACCACGCGTTTCGTGTCTCCAACTGGTGGCCCCAATGGAGGTGCGAGTGTGCGGACGCCGCCTCTTTTCGATTCACCCCTCCGTCGGTGTGAGCTCTTCAGGGAGCTCAAACTGCAGCGCCACTGGTGGTGCGAGAGAAAGAAGATTACAATGAGAAGCCTGGAGGCACATGTGCCGTGGATGGTTGCGCTCCCCAGTGTCCCATGGCCTCATCTGGGCCCCCGGGAACCATGTCCACCGGGAGACAGCACGCTTCCATGGGGCGCCTGCTGGCCGTCTGGTCGTCTGGTCTCTTCTCTGATACGTGTCTGCGGTGCAGCCTCGGTGGGGCGTCTCATCCCTTCCGCGCTCCCGTCGTGCCTGCTCCCTCGTGCTTCCCCACCCTCGCTCTCTCCCTCCCGCGGCGCGCAACGTGTCAGGGGAGGGCCGCCCACTGCGGTCGGGCCCGTCGGCAATGAGGGCGGCCATCCCGGCAGCGGTCCTTGTAGCTGTGCAGCAGCTGCCTGTAGGACTGTGGCCTCTCCGCCTCGTGGCCGCTCTTTGACTGCCACGCTCGCCCAACCCTTCTTCTCTAAAGCACATGATGTCCGCGTCCTTTCTGCGGTGTCTCTGCTGCCTGGGTGGACGGAGGAGGGGGAGGAGGAGGAGGAGGAGGAGGGGGAGGGGGAGGAGGAGGAGGAGGAGGAGGAGGAGGAGGAGGAGGAGGAGGAGGAGGAGGAGGAGGAGGAGGAGGACCCATCCTTCCCCTTTGCGCTGGGTCCTTTCTCGTCCACCGACTGGGGTGTCCTAGAATGCCCTGATCTTCAAATGACTGCTGCAGGATTCGATCCACTGTTTGCTGTACAATCGGCAGCGCGAAAGGAGTTTTTACATTGGAGAACCAATCCGCGCTATGTGCTGGCTCAGGGGCTTCCGCAACACGCATCGGCAACGTTGTAGCGCCATCTGTTACTCCTCATTGAAAGAGCCTTGCATTATTAGACCCGATGAAGCCACGCATCCTGGTCTTCTCGCTATACTCGGGGGCGACGATGGGGACTAATAGCCCAGGAGAGGGCAATCCATGTATCCAAAAACGCCGATGGTCCATGCCTTCGGCAAGGCTCCCGGGCGAATCCATGTAGTGCCCGCCCCTGGGTTATTAGCCCCTGCCGTCGCCTGCGATATACAACCAACTGCTTAGCATGTTGTCCGACGCCGCCAGTGTCTACATCGAAGGCCTCGCTCAAGCGCCCCGCCAGTGTCGGAAGCTCAGGGCCCTCGACAACAGGCTATGCAAGTAGACCTACAACTACTTCGTTCGCCACGTCACCAGCGCCAGCGTCGACGCCTTCGCCACCGAGGTACAGAGACATCTGCGCGTCCTCATCGGCGGCCCACGTCTTCAACGTTGAGGCGCCCGTATGATTGGCGCTCGCGCTCCCGATTAAGGGAATGGATCTCGTAATCTTCGCCCCTCCAGAGCACCAGCCCAGCTTCTACAGCTACTCCAGCTGCAGCTTGGGCCTCGCCTGCGGCCTCCGCAACAACCGTGGGCACGAAGAGACTACACCAGCGAGGCCAACTTCAGCCCCCCGCGACCTTGTCGGCGACCTTGGCTGCAACCCCAGCTTAGCTTACGGCCACTACCACGACGACAACGACGACGCTGGCTCCCAGGCCGCCCGCTCCAGCGGCGACAGAGCCACGTGTTCCAGCATACTTCGCATACGTCTTCGGCCTAGCCTGCGACTGCGGCGCTGGCTGGAGGGGGGAGTCTGGAGGAGGAGGAAGAAGGAGGAGGAGGAGGAGGAGGAGAGGAGGAGGAGGAGGAGGAGGAGGAGGAGGAGGAGGAGGGTAAGGAGGAGGCCTGGCCGCGGCCCGCCCCCCGCGCGGGCGCTCCCTCCCGCAGGAGCGGACCGCCCGGCCCACGGGCCGCCGGCCATGCTTGCCGCCGCTTCCTCGGGGCGCGGCCGCGAGCGCCCCGGGCGCCGCCGCCGCCCCGAGCGGCGCCGCCACGCCGCGAGCGGCCACCGCGCCCGCCACGACGGCGCCTGCGACGCCGCGGCCGGCGACGGGGCGCAGGCAGCGCAGCCCGGGGGTCCGCGCAGGGCGGAGGCACCCCGCCGCGCGGCGGCCCGGCCCCAGGCGGAGGCACCAGGCCCGACGGAGGCCGCGCCCGCGGAGGGCGCAGGGGAGCGCGCCGCCCGCGAGGCTGGGCCGCAGGGGCGGGGCCCCCCGGAAGCCGGCGGCGCCGGCGCGTTGCTGGGCACCCGCCGGAGGAGTGGCCAGGCGCCCAGAGGGCCATGATCAGCAGAGGCCGCAGCAGAACCAGAGGGGCAGGGTGGCATCAACATCCTCGGAACGTCCCGCGCCACGGCGCCGCCGGGAATGCAGGCCACCCTCGGGCCCTTCTCGACGCCCGTCTTGGCGCGCCATCATGGAGGACCACCGAGGGAGGGACGGGATGCCTGCCGACATGGGCTTCTGCACGCATCTGCCACTAATGGAGGGGAGGGCTGGCTAGAAGAGGACAGGAGAGTAGGGTGATGAGGAGCAGGATGACGAGGAGGGGGACGAACAGGAGGAGCAGGCTGAGGAGGAGGAGGAGGAGGAGGAGGAGGAGGAGGAGGAGGAGGAGGAGGGAGGATGAGCAGGATGAGCAGGAGGAGGGGGACCAGAATAAACCATAACACCCACGAAGAGTTAACTATGCAACAGTACACCCTCTCGTCCCAAGTCCCCGCCTCCTGCGTCCTTGCAAGCTGTCCTTGTCGCTGCAGAAGGCACCTCCCTCGAACGACCAGCACCATTTGATGGACTTGCCATGTTGGCGAGGGCCCCATCTTGAAGATAAACTCCCTTGCGTCCTTCTGGCGCGTCAGGATTGAGCAACACTGCAATCATACAACTCAACCAAGTGTCCGGTGATACCCGCTCTTCGAAACAAGAACCGCACCCATCCACGACGACGACGATGTTGATGATCGTGATGATGATGCTGCTGATGATGATGGTTATGGTGATGGTGGTGATGATGATAATGACGAGAAGGAGGGGAGACGAGGAGGAGAAAAACCCGAATCCATCCAGTCTGCGTCTGCTTTGCTGCATTACACCCTATCGTCCCACGTCGCCTCCACATCGGTCCCACCAAGTACCCGTTTTTCACTACGGGGAGGAGCCCTTGGAAAGCCGAGCGCCCGACGGGCCTACCATTGAGGCGAACGCTTCGTTTTTTAATGAGGAACAGCCCTCCGTCTTTCTAGCTGTGATAAGCATACTAAAAAGTAGGGACATACCATCCAAGGACATGTCCAGCGAGAGCCCTGCTTTGACATGGGGTCGCTCTGTCCACTTTCATCATTTGCGCACTTGTACAATCATAGTGGGCACATATGAAAAATGACCGAATGGCCGCCGCTTGTCGGAATAAACGCCCACCATCTGTGTATCTGTTGCGTGTTCAAAACCCCTGGTGGTTATCATCTGATGAAAGTTCCCAGCGAGAGCCCAATGTTGGCAAGCATCCGCCCTGCATCTGTGCATGTAGACACGTTTCAGGCGAATGTGCGTGGCCGTAAAACGAACGCCACAGTTTGAATACTGACCGCCCTCAAACCGTGTAGCAAGCGATTTGTCATCCGTCCGCATACCTGGAGGCTCCCAACCCCAACGTAATGACCAAACATTGTACTGAGGTACAAGTGAAACGCCGGACCCGCCATACCAATATAGAGGGGATGAGGAAGAGGAGCATGACAACGAACATGAAAAGAAAAGAACCGCGAACAGCCAATGCGGACAATCTGCGCTGTGCCAAGCGAGTGATTTAGCACTGGGGGGATGCTGCTGTCTCCCTTGACAGCCTCGGTTGCCCCAGGGGCGCTACGGACCTCTCCCTCACTCACGCAAGGAAGTGTTGTAGCAAAAGAAAAAGTACTACTAGTAGTAGTAGTAGTAGTCGTAGTAGTAGTAGTAGTAGTAGTAGTAGTAGTAGTAGTAGTAGTAGTAATAGTAGTAGTAGTAGTAGTAGTAGTAGTAGTAGTAGTAGTAGTAGTAGTGGTAGTCGTAATAATAGTAGTAGTAGTAGTAGTAGTCGTATTATTAGTAGTAGTAGTAGCAGCAGCAGTAGTAGTAGTAGTAGTAGTAGTAGTAGTAGTACTAGCCGTATTCGTAGTAGTAGTCGTAGTCATGGTCGTAATAGTAGTCGTCGTCATCGTCGTCGTGATAGAAGTCGTAATAATAGTAGTCGTAGTAGTCGTCGAAGTAGTACTTGTAGTAGTAGTCGTAGTAATAGTAGTAGTAGTAGTAGTAGTAGTAGTAGTAATAGTAGTAGTAGTAGTAGTAGTAGTAGTAGTAGTAGCAGTAGTAGTAGTAGTAGTAGTAGTAGTAGTAGTAGGAGTAGTAGTAGTAGTTGTAGTAGTCGTAGTAGTACCAGTCGTAGTAGTACTAGTCGTCGTCGTGTTCGTGTTAGTGTCAGTGTGCGCGTAAAAGCTAGGTCTCAGTGTAAGTGTTCGTGCTCGTGTTGGTGCTCGTGATAATAGTAGGAATAATACCAGAAGTAGTAGTAGTAGTAGTAGTAGTAGTAGTAGTAGTAGTAGTAGTAGTCGTGGTAGTAGTAGTAGTAGTAGTAGTAGTAGTAGTAGTAGTAGTAGCAGTAGTAGTAATAGTAGTAATTAGTAGTAGCCGTATTAGTACTAGTAGTAGTCGTACTAGTAGTATTCGTAGTAGTAGTAGTAGTAGTAGTAGTCGTAGTAGTAGTAGTAGTAGTAGTAGTAGCGGTAGTAGTAGTAGTCGTAGTAATAGTGGTCGTCGTAAAAATAGTAGTGATAGTAGTAGTAGTCGTAGTAATAGTAGTAGTAGTAGTAGTAGTAGTAGTAGTAGTAGTAGCGGTAGTAGTAGTAGTCGTAGTAGTAGTGGTCGTCGTAAAAATAGTAGTAATAGTAGTAGTAGTCGTAGTACTAGTAGTAGTAGTAGTAGTAGTAGTAGTAGTAGTAGTAGTAGTAGTAGTAGTCGTTGTATTAGCACTAGTACTAGTAGTAGTAGTAGCAGTATTGTAGTAGTAGTAGTAGTAGTAGTAGTAGTAGTAGTAGTAGTAGTAACAATCGTAGTAGTATCAGTCGTAATAGTACTAGTCGTCGTCGTGTTCGTGTTAGTGTCAGTGTGCGCGTAAGAATTAGGTCTCAGTGTAAGTGTGTTAGTGCTCGTGTTGGTGCTCGTGATAGTGGTAGGAATACTACCAGTAGTAGTAGTAGTAGTAGTAGTAGTAGTAGTAGTAGTAGTCGTGGTAGTAGTAGTAGTAGTAGTAGTAGTAGTAGTAGTAATCGTAGTAATTAGTAGTAGTCGTATCAGTACTAGTAGTAGTCGTAGTAGTCGTAGTAGTAGTAGTGGTAGTAGGAGTAGTAGTAGTAGTAGTAGTAGTAGTAGTAGTAGTCGTAGTAGTAGTAGTAGTAGTAGTAGTAGTAGTAGTAGTGGTAGTAGTAGTGGTAGTAGTAGTAGTCGTAGTAGTAGTGGTCGTCGTTAAAAAACAGTAGTACTAGGAGT